CTGATAAGCTGCACTGGCCCACCAAAGTCACAACTCCAATCATTCTTACATTTTTAGTAATATGAAACTTAGGAGTTCTCTGCACGCCTCACTTCTTAAAACTCTCTGCAATTTAGATTTTTATGAAATACTGAGCACTTCCCTATAGAAAAAAGGCATGAGTTTTTATAATCGGAGGACACAGAGTGTGATACAACTCCAGTTCCTTCTTCTGGCTGCATCTGAATTGGATCTCCAGAGCCCTAGCAAGGTACTACAGTGCCCACAGAACAGAGATTTGGCACAGAATGTTGTACCTAATAACACAGAGTGAAACATCCTCCTAAAAGGAAATTGTTTTCGTGCTGCATTTTCCTATGCCTTTTTTTCAATTTTAAAAGTGGGGCATTTCCCCCAAATTAATTATTAACACAATAAATGGATAAAGACCACCAGTTCCAAATAAGTAACACAATAAATGGATAGGCTGTCACCTCCATATGTTGCAATTCATGTTTTTGTGCAACTAGCCATGGAAATTTGTTATCAGGCTTTGGCACCTTCAATATTTTTTCAACACATCTATGTGTGCTATTAAAGAAAAATGTAAGCTATTGAATTGTAAAAAGCAGCCTGCATGAGAAAATCCATCTACCATCTGCCAGGGACCAGAGGTTATAATTCAATTTAGAAGAGTTTCAGTTTCTGCTGAAAGAGTCTCATGATTCACTAATCTAATGTGTCTCTATTTGTAAAAATAGAATCTTATGATTTGCTTTTCTTATCATGGGCAGCCTGGTATCATACAGCCAAAATCTGGAAGTCTAACCCTGCTCTCTGCCAGCCCATAGATTAACAAAACAGTTCCCACCAATACAGCTGACATGTTACCGGCATTATTTCACTCCTACTTTCCAGGTTTCATTGCCAACCCTGTGAAAATCCCATCAGCAAAGGGAAAGCCCTACCCCAGCCTCCCAAAGCAGGAGTCACTCACTGAAAGTTTTCTCCATTTCTTCACAACGCCGCACCTCTCCCACAAAGCGTCGCTGGAAGGCACTGACATAAGGGTTCAGCTGAAAGTACAGTAAAAAAAGCCCGAGGGGCCAGTCAGGGATAGAGCTGATGCTTTAGCACCCCAAAACCAGGAACCAAAACTCTTAATGCACCACATGAAGACCTGTTCAACAAGAATAAGACACCCCTTTTTTTACCCCACCCCAATTTTATTCTTGCCGTCAATCTCTTCTATTCATCTGCCAGGCTCATAACAAACATGCAATCCCAAAACTTCTTCCATAAATAAGGAAGGGGGTAGGAGGTGGGAGATCATTTGTATACAACCACTTCTCAAGTAAATGAAAATATTAGTTACTCTTTCTGTTGCCTGCATGACCACGTCCTTATGTGACACGCTGGGCACATACTATTTCTATCTCTTTTAGTTGCTGGCCCTCACAAGCTTTGTGGGGGGGAAAAACAGTTGAAAAGGGAGCTTCTTCTTTTGTAAGAACAGTAATTTTTTTGCAAGAGACCAACTACACCCATGGACTGATTGCTGCCTGCCTTGCAATCACTGCTGCAGTTAAAGGCCCCAACAGCTGGAACATCCTTAGTTTGGTCTCCCCACCAAGCATTCCCCAAATCTTCCAACACATACATCACGGAACTCCACGAGGCCTTGCTCGCCTAATTCGCTAACACAAGCATAGGATGAAGCTGACTGCAAGAAGAGCTGGGCCAGGCACATCTCCTCACTGCGAAACATAGTCCCCATTCCAGAACAAACTGAAAGACAAAATGGTTTAATCAGCAGGCATTAATTCACCCAAACCACTACCTATTCCTGACTGGAGTGGGGTGGGGCTCCTTTTCGAATAGCTATTGTCCTAAAAAGCACTGGTGACACAGGAATAGGACCAGGGACATACCGAGAAAAGAGAGGGGAACAAAGACCATGGGTGGGGGGCAGAGAACCCACCAATGGGAGAAGTAGGCAAAACCCAAATGCTCACCCCACCAACTAAGGAAATTTATCTCTAAGAGGGGTGTTAGGCAATGAATACTGGGGCATCCCAGCCAAAGGACTGTGGATACTGCCTGGCATTAGGACTGTATCAATCAGGATTCAATGGCTGCAGCAGCCCAAGGTGGGGGGGTGGGGCGGATTGCTTACCTCTGGATACTCCAAATGCAAGACAGCAGAAAACGAGTTTCTCCTTCAGGGTTCGAGCTGGAGGCAGCCCTAAATTAAATCTTTGCTGTCCTGATGGCTTGCTGCAACTCGCTCTCTGCGCTGACTCACGTGAGGTTTTTTTCAGCTCTGGGATTGCAACACAGTTTCCAGGCCAGGCCACGACCACTCATTTCACAACGTGCGCCTGACTCAGGCCTCTCTGTTGCTCACAATGGGATTAAAATATCCTGAGATGGCAGTTCTGGAACTCAGGTTGGAGAAAACTGCAAAGAGATCCTTTCAGCTGTTGGAGCAGACACAGCATGTTGCCCATTTGGGGGGGAGGGTTGGGAGAGAGGAGGAGAGAGAAAAACAAGGCACAATAATCACTTAATTCAGTACAAAAAGATATTTCTCTAAATTTCATCCTCAGGGATTGGTGTTTCCCCTCTGCAATGAGAAAGCAGCTGTAAGCTGTAACTGAGTGGAAGATGGCTTGCTCTAGTGACAAAGAGATAACAAAGAGGAGCCCACAAGTCTGGGGAAACCACAATGTCTTGTTAAACAGCTGCAGGAACCACACCCAAAACTTTACAGGCTGGTTTGACTGGAAGCAAGTGGGTTATAATTAGGGCAACAAATTAATTAATTAAATCAGCCAAGCATGGCTGTAAGATTAAGATTACCCTTCCGCAGAACGTCTAATATTCTAGATTACAGTAGGCCATTCCAGGCCATTTTCTCCAGCAAAAAAATACACACAAGAAGACCGGATACTGCCACTCTGTCAAAGCATCATATCTAAGGGTGCAGGTCCACTACAAGCATAAAGGGGGAACTACCCTGACTTTAGAATGATTCCTGGGATGGCTGGTGCTGAAGTGAATTTGGCTTCTATTAAGGGCTGTACCACTGTATTGGGAAAAGGGTTTCTGCTCTTTTAAGTTAGGAATGGGCAACCAGTGGCCCTAAAACTACTTTCATGCACTCATCAGTGCCAACCACAAAGCTGAAATTCTATCACCAAAAGCTAAATTCCTATACCTATATGGGGAGGGACCTGAAAATCACTGTTTCATCCATTTGCATGGTAGAACACTGGTCCTCAGGGATGGAAAAAAATCTGCACCTCCCCCCCCAAAAGACTTCAAGCTTGGCCACAAAAAATAATTTCTTGCTTTAAGGAAGTTGAAGTTTCAGAGATGCAGCCTCTCCTTTGAGTAATTTGCAGCTACAACGGAGCGTGCATATGCTATTTTTCCAATGCTCCAAATTACAGAGTTCCATAACAGAATTATAAAAATCCTGTTCCATAGGTGATCTATTAATTTTCTGCAGAGCAGTGGAGCACTCCCAGCTACAGGGAGTAGAAAAGTTTTATACTGAGTCCCCAGAACAAGCAAGGATAGTTTCTGTCTACCTCTGTGCAAATTTGGAGATCTCATCTTGCACTAAAAATAATGCAACAGATTTGTACCAATAAGGAATTATTGCAATGGAACTTTGCAATAGGTTAAATGACTAAGCCACCAAGCTGGCAATAGATTTTACCAATACTGTAAATATAGAAACAATTGCATAAATAAATACATACGGCACTTAATTTTTAAAAAAAGCCAGTCAAGCTGGTGCAAATTTTTGATTATATCTGTCATTCTAATTTGAACCTCAGAATGTAACTAGACTGAATTGTGTCTGAGGAAGCTATTGAGAGATATCTTTGTATTAGAGCTATGCAAAGCGTTTGGAGGGGCATTTCACAAATTTCACTGGTGGGAACAAAGCACCCTGCCTTGATGAGTACGGTGAGCCTCCTTTCCTGGAGGGCTTGGGGCTGCTGCTTCAGAGCCTTCTTCCAATTGTGCAGCTGCTTTGCCAGCAATCACAATGGAACGGTTGTCTGGGCATGCACATGCATGCCCAGATAACCTGGAAAAGTTTTCTATACAGCAACGCCAAGTCTTCTGGAAGCCAAGGATACATCACTACTTTGAGGAAGGGCCCTTTTCCTCACTGGCATGTTTTGCAAAGAACCCCTGCAAATACGTTGCACAACCCTACTTTATATATCCTTGTTTTGAAAAAAACCCACAATGACTAAGGGTTCATCTGCCTACATGCAGAGGATGCTACTTAATGACCTGTTTTCTGGGTTTGCACTACACACTGAAACAAAGGCCAAAATGCAAAGGGTGGAGTCAGATGGCATCTTAGCCTAGTGTTTGGCTACTTTGGGATTCTGTTTGTTGGCCAAATCCAGCCAGTGGAGATCAAATAAATCCTAACCCACTCCGCTCATCATTTTAGTGCCATACATCTTCTTCCTTCCAGTTGTCACATAGACAAGAAAATACGTCTCTCAACACCCGAATCTGATAAATGAGAGACCACCTGAGAATTCCCAAAACACCCTGAAGGAATGGAATGACAACCCATTTCTGTATTGTTGCTCCAAAAAACTACATGGACGTGCCCAGGATATCATCAGGACTTAGTGAAGACTCTGCCTTTAAAGTTTAGCAATGTCTCATGCAAAGAGGACAAACAGAAGATAACATTACAGCCAAACATCTAACCACATCCTACATAAGTATTTTGTTGCTCCCTCCGCAAAATATAAGATCCTAAAAAAATAAAATATCAACTTTTTATTAGACAAATGTGAAAGTGAAAGCATCCACTAGGGCCCAAAGAGAGGAAACAGCAGCAATCATTTTCATCAAGGGGGCTCTTGAGAAAGTCATCACCATCACATCTCAAAATGGAATGCTAATGTAGCCTTTATGTTAATATAAATTAGCTTAATAAAGTATATTCCTTCTCTTATGGGTAGCGAAGCAGTTACAGCAACAGGGGAAATTTTGTGTTTGGCCTGAAAGGCTGCATCTAAACCAAGCTGATCTAGAAGCATGCAGTTATTCATTACTTCTCTAGGGCAACCAGTAAACTCTTGAAGTAGAGAGGGTGATTCTGTATTACTCTCCAGATGTATTGCATTTCCATTCCCATAATCCCCAGCCGGCAAAATTACGCTGGGTCAGGGTCCTGGTAGCTGAAATCCAACCTTTCCGGAGAACATCAGATTGGAGAAGGCGGCAAAGATCGCTTTATTTACAAGCAAGCGGAGGAGGGGCTCCTCCATCTCTCACGTGAACTGCCCCAACTTTCCACACATGACACACGCACCCCACCCCCTCCCAGGCGCCAAAGATGGGTGGCCATTCGGTAGTCCAAGCCGGAAGCATTTCTCCTACAGTCCTGGGAAGGCGCGAGGAGGGCTGGAGAAAGCCCACTTCTCAAAGGTCCCTTCCTTCAGAGTCCTACGTTCCCCGCCCCCGCGAGGCAGTGGGGGGGCTCCCCGAAGCTCTGACCCCCCCAAAGGCAGACCGGAGCCGAAAGACCGCTTCTGGCAGAAGCCGCTGGCATAAAGCGCCTCTCCGTCGTCCGCCCGCCCCGCGCCGGATCCTCATCAACCACTGATCCAGCCCACACTCACCCCTCCCGGCAAGCAGGTTGCCTCGGCAGCCCTGGAGCTGAGCGCCTGAGGCGGATCGGCGTCGAGGTCCCCGAAAGCGAGCCTCCCCTTCCCTCCCCACAAGCGGGGTCAACGTAAATGACGGAGGTGCGACCAGTTTTTAGAGACACGGCGGGCAGGCGAGGGTGGGGTGGGGTGGGGTAGGGTGGAGGGCAGCTGGGTCGTGGACCCACTGAAGCAAAAGGGCTGGACTCCCATCCTGAGCAGGGAGAAGAGGCCCACAGATCGGGCCCAGGATCCCGCGGGTTGATGGAGGAAGCCGGATGCGAGGGGCCGAACACGCACCCACCTCGCGACGACGTCGCCGCCGCCGGAGCAGCAGCCGGGTATTTTCGCCTCCCGGGCTGCCAATTGCTTCCTCTTTGCCGGGAGGGCCCCAACTGAAAGGAAGGCCGGTCTGTCCCGCCCTGCGAGAGCTCCCTGCGCGCACCTCGAAGGCACTTCCTGCGGGTTGTGGGGACGGAGGGCGGCCTCGGCGAGCAGACGGAATCCTGCTTCTCAGAGGACGGGGGAGATTGAGAGCGCCTGTTTCCTTCTGCAGCTGAGGCCTCCACGCAGCCCGAGAGATGCACGAAGGAGTCTCTCCCCTCCCGCCCCCGCCTTGACGGAGCATCGCTTGCAAGGCGCGTGTGAAATTGTAGGCGCTCCCGACTTTTCCTTTGCTGGGTTGCACCGCAGAGGCACAGGAGCATCGTCAAAAAGCGCGAAGGCGTTATTAAGAATTTATAAAAGGTTATTGGAAGATTGCTTCCTTCCTTTTCCAGGCCCTGATAATCAGAAGTGGATAGATTTTTCTCTCTCTCTCTCCACTCCTGATTATCAGGACCTATGAATGGTTACCTTGCAGCATCGGTGCGGTCGGTAACCCAGACCAACAGGAAGGCATTTGCAGAGAGAGGCAGATGTGTGCCATTCAGCCCTGCTTGTCTCTTTCTGTGGAGATCTGCTTTTTGATGATGGGGGTGCCAGAGCAACAGCTTAACTGAGAAGCAAAATCCTTGTAAAAGCTGCAGGAAAAACTACAGGCGGATCTCTTCCAGTGCTTGCAGCATCACACTACTCACTACACTGCATTTTAGTCATGCCACATGGCTGCCCAAAACAAATTTTATACCAGGGTCACAGCCTTTTACTTGAGAATACCAGATTTTTCTGCACTATCTTCTTCAAACTTGCAGCACCCGAAGTAAGCCATTTCTACATGTGATATCTAAAATTATCTACTGTAGTCATTTTAGGATGGTTCATTCCTGAGGAAGACAAACTTTTTATCACTACAAAATGGCTGTAAGCCAGTAAAAGGTCTGTGTTTTGCATGCATCTCTCCACCCCCTTCCTCATTATTCCACCTAATGTTTCTACTTTATAGGCATTTAAAACAGGAGAAATTTTTTTTTAGATTGCTATACATTCATCTATATCTTTACATGAATACCAGCACTACATGATTATGAGGGGGGAAAAAATGGGGAGCTCTAGCTGCGGTCAAAAAAACAAAACAAGCATTGATATTTCCAGGCTATTTCACATATTACAACAAACAATTCATGTGGGTAGAACTTTCAGCACCTATCAAGTATAGCATTATATCGCATTTCATGTATATACGCCCAAGTTCTTAACACGTAAAGCACCCCTGTAAGAAACACCTATAACAACTTTGCACATGTTTATTGTTTTTATGAGTTACTTCCAGGATTCTCTTGAGGAACCAGAAAAAGAGTACAAATATCTTAATAAGAGCCTCTACATCTTTGCATTGGAATAAAGATGAGCTTTATAAATAAATAATTCATTTACCCCCATAACATCTCCAAGCCTTTATGTGGATAGTTTTCCAGTAATTTTCTAGCTTAGAAACAATGTAATAAATACAAATCCAAGTCAGTTAATTACTACACTGAAATAAATACCACCATATCAAAAGATAAACAATATATTTAAAATCTTTTTACTTGAAACGCAGGGTGCTGAACTGGAAACATGCTATATGGAAAGAATGAAGTCCTTCAGCTGACTTGCCATTCTAACTATGCTTAGAATTGCAAAAAGAGAGAGCAAAGCCTAGTATTCTTAGCAGTCTGGGATTTCTGAACCCATTAGCAGAGCTCCTCTAGGCTTCTAAATCCGTTAGCATAGTTCTAGATCAGCTAGACCTCCATTGGAACACAATGCCTCTTACTGCAGAACTTCCAGTGAAGTGTGATGGTGAGGATAAAGCATTACTAAACATTACGTTTACTGCCTCTTTTACCATGGGTGTCCTTATTTATACAACTAAAAGGCAGATGAGATTTAGAAATGTATGCAAGGGCTATCTTCTACTCAACAGCTACATACTGAATAGTCATCTCTAGATGCAAACTGAAGGAAAGACAAGAAAAAGTTTACTATGGTGTTGCTCTTTATGTTAAAGAGAGAATAATGAAACATCAAAAGGAAAAGATTCTTCCAAGAAATCATCGTGGGTGGCCATGTCCACTTACAAGCTGATTTACTATTGGGGACGTATTATCATGCTCTTTACAAAAATACCCAATATTATTTTGATCAAAAATTAAGTTCAAGATGTATGTGGAGAAGAAATTGTAGAAATATGACAATTACCTTTACCTGGACTGTGTAAACATACAGTCCAGTATCAACCTATGGAATATGTTCTTAAGTATTCTACTTGATATTGGTCATAGAACTGACAAGAGGGAAAGTTTAATCCCAAGTGCTGTCCTGGGGTACTAAGTGGTGCCCCAGGACTTACTACAAGATTTAAATTGTTGAACCACTCTCAAACAGCAGCCATCAGGCTTCAGATTCAAGATACAGATGAGTGGTCTCATGCTATAAAGTAATCCCATCACCACTGATGTCAAAAGATGGAATTTCTACAAAATAAGGCAACTGACAAAAAGAAAGTGAAACTCAAGTAACATTTTTCTAGAATGTATGAAGATTGTTCAAATGTAAAATTGCAATTCAGCTACATTATGTATGTACGTATCTATGTAGATTTGAGAAAGCCACCCAAAGTCAAGAAGATACCAGCATACTTAGAGAACAGAGTAGAAAACACCCAAACAATTCAAGGCAAGAGGACTTCCTTCAGAAAATGGAAATCTCACATGCTCTTCATATGTGAAGAGCAACAACAACAACAAAAAAAAAAGTTACAAACTGGCAAATAACAAGGCCTGCAAGAACAAGAAGAGTCTATTGCAAGTAAGAGATCATAATTAACTCCGCTTCATGCCTCATATTCCTATCAGCAGTGACATCCAAGATGCCTTGGGCAATATATTGTCATTCAAGATTTTTCTGCATAGTATTTATTTCAATGCTTTTTATAAGGGAGTATGTGTGTGTACACATATGGTAACTGAGCTGAATGTTGGAAATACCCATTTGCTTGTGAGCCTGACTCACCACCAATTACACAATATACAAGTTACTTTTTTTCCAGCCACTGAACATTTTTCAACTTCCTTTTTTCCATGTCTCAGATCCTATTTTAGGAGATTTGATTTTACTGATTCATTTGCACTAAAAATGTTTTAGCAGGGGATGTTATATAGATAATGACAACAGCTAACAAAAAGACTTCTCTCTCTCTGGTAGTGCACAGAAACAATATTAAATGGGACAACAATTCACTCTTCTCCATCCATATCCTGACTTTTTCAATCTCTGCCCTATAAACAATCTCAGTAGTTCTCTACAACTGTCCAATTTATTTCCAGTGAATCATATTGTATATACAGTATAAGACTATATATACTATGGAGAACAGTAAATGTTCAAAAAATGAAACTTGGGGCATGGCGGGGGGGGGGGGGGGG